TGTGTGTGTGTGTGTTTCCAGTTCTTATCTGTACCAGTTTACATCCTCTGGTCTAGCTGGATTTGTTAGGTAGAATTAGGATCATGATAGTGGGGGAGGAGGAAGCATTTAGGAACTAGAGGAAAGTTGCATGTTTCATCATCCCTACATTGCACCCTGACTGGCTCATCTCCTCCCCGAGACCCTTCTGGGCTTTGGGTTGCCAATCCGCACTCTCTGTCTTTCACAATGATATGGTATTTTTGTTCTTTGATGCCTGATATCTGATCCTATTGACACTCAGTGATCACACAAGCCAGTGCGCTTCTTCCTTGTGGGCTTTGTTGCTTCTTAGCTAGATGGCCCCTTGTTTATCTTCAAGCCTTTAAGACCCCAGACACTATATCTTTTGATAGCTGGGCACCATCAGCTTTCTTCACCACATGTGCTTATGCACCCAATTTGTCTTCAGCGATGGTGTGGGGAAGGTGAGCATCACAGAATTCCAGTTTAATAGAACAAATTGTTCTTGCATTGTGGGAGTACTTGAGTAGAGGCCCAGTGTCCATCTTCTACCTTAATACTAAACCTATAAATGTATTTACATAGATCTATTTCCATGTCATTATATATAAATATATTTACATATGTACATGCCTGTATTTAGGCCCCTATAAATGCCCTTTGCCTCCTGGTTCTTTCCTCTATCTCCTTGTACTTTCCTCTTGTCCCTAGAGTAATATTCTTATGGACAGTCTCCTTTGCCTTTAGCTTTACAGACTCTGCTCATCCAGAGTGGCCTTGTTCAGCACCTTTCTCTCTCTCCCCCAGCAGTGAAGTAGTTTTGTGCATTCATAATTCCATTGTCAGAGTCAGACTTCCATCTTGAGAGCCCCCAATCTCCGAAATGATTTTTTTGTTTAATTGGCATGCATGAAGGTCCACTTTTTGTGTGCTGAAACATTATGACGAAGTTGTCAATGTGTGGTGCCACATACCTACTATTATACTACCAGCCAGACTAGTTTCATGGTCCCCACAAAACACTCCCCACCCCATCATGCATCACCTGGTCACCCACCCCTTAAACCAATGGCTTCGTGATTGGTTCTTTTTCTTTTAAACATTTCACTGTGATTTGGGTAAAAGTTTTCCGAAAAAAATTTACTTTCCCAACCAACGGTCCATACATAATTGTTGCATGACATTAGCTATGAATAAGCCAGAAAAGCTCTGTTTTCTCACTGTTTCTGTCCATCCTGTTTCCCTGACCCTCCCCATCTCCTCATTTTGGCAAATGTTGCCCCTTTGGTGTAAGACTGTTCTAAGGGACACACTCTTCAGGGGTGCTACGCTTTCACAGTCCTGTCTATTTCCTGGCTAAAAGGTGGCCCCCAGGAATGTCTTTGGTTTAAGATTAGAAGATTACCCTAGGGCAGTAAGTCGTTGGTTTCTCTAGTCCCTATCCTACCAGTCTGTCTTGTTTTCTGTTTATTTGTTTTGTACTTGAATTTTGATCTACACTTTTTTAACCAAGTCTAACTGTCCCGTCCAGCGGGAACAACAACGTGGATCCTGGATAGAGGGAGCGGGACGCGAAGAATCGGGACAAGACAAGAGGCTGAGCAGTTCTCTATTTTTCCACAAGCCGCAGCTTATAAAGGCAAGAAGGAAGGAAGTGCCCGCGGTGCATGCAAATCAGGCTACTAATGACAACGCCCAATCCGAAAGCTACAAAAGTGCGCCCAGAGTCAGCGGTCAACAGTTTCCGATCAGGTCCGCAGGAATGACATCACCTTATGCTAATTAGGTGAAACAGCACATGTGCTAACAGGGTGCTTGTTAGCCAATACAAATAAGGGAAAAGGTTAAGGCCATTTGGACTTTTCTGTAAGGCAGCAAAAGGAAACGGAAAGTCTCCACCCCGGCCTGAGGCTGAGAGTAAAGCCTGTTTATGCGATCTTGGCTGTTGGGGCCCATGGTCCCCGACATCTAACCAGAGTTTTCTATCGTAGGTGTTGATCAGAATGGTTAACAGTGGTGTCCAGGCACCATCTAGTTCTTCTGGTCTCTGGTGACAGGAAGTTGTGAGCAAACACTGCTCATTCTTTTATAGTTAAAGCTTTACCTTTTGAAGTTAGATTTTCGGCCAGAGGGTGTAGAGAAACGCATCCAAATATTGAATCTGGCCGCAAGGTAGACGGGGAGACACTTTGTGTCCACCATTAGGAGCCCAGAAATAGAAGAATACTGCTGTCATCATTGGTGCTCAATGCAGACTTTAACTCCCCTGTTGGAGGTGCATACTGGGTTACACATTGGCTGCTAATCACAAGGTTAGCAGTTTGAAACCACCAGACGCTCCATGGGGTGAGTCCTACTGTGTCCCCTAGGGTCGCAATGAGTCAGAATCCACTTGGTGGCAGTGAGTGTGGGGTTTATTTATTGCTTGGGGGTACGAGTGATGCAGGAGCCCTGGTGGCATAGCGGTGAAACACTTGTCTGCTAACCAAAAGGTTGACAGTTTGAACCTACTAGAAACTGCACAGGAAAAAGGTTATACAGACCAGATAGAACCTGGTGGGGCTCCCGGAAACTACAGAGCTCTTAGTCTTTAGGTATAGAACTGAACTCACTTCTCGTTACACCATGCAGCCATTTAAGATCGAAAGGGCTGCACCCAACCCCAAGGCAACGTTCAGAGGGAGGAGGGACGATAACAGGACACTCGGGGCAGAAGTGGGACACCTCATGGCACATTGGGGAGATTGCAAAGGATACATTGAAATAAAATGCATATGAATCATTGAATGTAGAAATGATGATCTGCTCTGAAAACCTCCACCCAATTCACAATACAAAGTTAAAGCACTGAAGGTTAGTTTCCCTTTGAGCTGACACGCCAGCCACCCTGGCCTGAGCCGCAGCCTCTGCTTGCCAGCGGAAACAGCCTAGAGGCAGCACTGGGGGTGCACATCCTGGGAAAGGAGACAACCTGTTTTCCTTTCAGCAGGCTGTTGTGCAAGAGTGATGTATGTGAGCACCTCCTTCTCATTCTTTCTCTTCTAAAGTTACTCTGGGAAAACCAGCTGAAGGTGACCCCAACATGCAAGGAACGCTGCCGGGAAGTCAGGCAACTTAAATCACAGGTATGCATTTGGGTGCGAGCGGCGTCTGCCCTTTTGGTCTGCATTTTCCCTGTCCAGGTGGGACTCTCCGGACAACGAGGAAGGTCCTGGCATTGCCAGCCTGTTCTGCCCAGCAAGGTTCTCAGCAAGTGAGTTTGAAGTCGAGGGAAAGGTGGACGGGGAGGCAGGGCAGCCTCGGGAAATAGGCCTGTCAGGGCTGATTGCCAAGTTCACAGATCCTCCTGGGCCTCACAGTGGCAGGGGTATCCAGGTCTGCTTTTCAAATCCTGAGGCCCACTTTTGAGCTCCCTTTCAATCTCATGTTATTACCTTTATAAAGACTGTTTTAGCATCTGTTAGGATCCTAAAAGAAAATAACACGTAACTCTTCTGTGAGCAACGTTGGATATAGTTTTCATTAGGTAAGCAAACATAATCTGACCGCCCCCCCCTTCTTCCCTAGCTTACTGATTAACTGAGCGTGTGTTCTAGAAGAATAGAAATGCTCTCTTATTTTTCATTGCCTTCACGGCACCTAGCACATATTCAGTATTCAGAAAAAATGAACTGAACAAGCCTGTTGCCATTTGGTCGATTGGAACTCATAATGAGCCTGTAAGACAGAGCAGAGCTTCCCCCGTTGGGTTTCCAAGGCCGTATACTTTAAGCACACAGACGGTTCCACATTTGTTCCACATTTGCCCCCCACTCTGTCCAGGACCTTCTCATGCGATCCTTGTTGCTTAGCTGGGTACATTTCCATCCCTTGGAGCGGGAGTGTCCTCTCAGCCCTCTCTGTCTTCCTTTAAGTAAACAGAACCCACGGGGTTGCCAAGTCTCCACACTCAGTTTATTAGTTCTGCAACCACTGGCCCTTGCCAGGATTTGTCTGAACTCTCCAAGGTCAGCCCAGGTGGGACTAGATAATGGACACTTTGTCTAGGGGGTGAAACCACAGTGAAGCAGACACGGACCCGCCTTCTGAGCGCACAGGACTTGTGGGCATAGGCCTGCATAGAGGTGATGAGTATAGGGTCAGAAGTCTCTCTCTCTCTGTCTCTGGCAGTAAGTGACAGTGTGTCCCTGCACAAGTTACTTCATCTCACTGTGCTTCTGTTTTCTTGTCTATAAAGCAGTGTCCACTCAGGGAAATCCTTTTTATGGAAGTGAGAAATAAATGTAGCCCTGAGAAGTAGTTGAATGCGACTACCAGGCAGGTAAACATTGTACTGCGCATTGTAAAAAGCTTTTTTTAAACAAAAAGCCTCGCAGTTATTGTTTGTTATGATGTGCCTACTATGTACCAAAAAGAAGCCCTCTTGGCTTAGTGAGTTACTCATTGGGTTACTAACCACAAGTTCAGCAGTTCAAAACCACCAGCTACTCTGCAGCAGAAAGATGAGGCTTTCTACTCCTATCAAGCTTTACGGTTTCGGAAACTCACAGGGGCATTCTACTGTGTTCTAGAGGGTCGTTATGAGTCGGAGATGACTTGACAGCCATGGGTTTGGTTCCGTTTTTACTATATATCAGGCTAGGGCTTTGCTCTCAGCATATAATCCAATGATGACATAAATTTGATGGAGCAGATACCATTATTTGCCCACTCACAGGGCAAACAGAGCTTAGAGAAGTTAATTAACTTGCCCAAGTTCACAGCAAATGGCAGAGCCAGGCAGATGATTCTATGGCTCTTGTCTTCAACTTATATAGTTATTCTATATATGTAGATACTCATGTTTCATGGAAACTAAGGCTCTCTGGTGATGAAATTTTCATGGTCATATCACAAAATGTCATGGAAGGTTCTCACACAACTCTAACACCATTATCATCTTTGCTAAGAGCAATGTAAGACACCACTGAGTTTTATGAAGCATTCTATTGAGGAGGTTAAAATAAATGTTTAAACTTATGTATTTATAATTGTTAAAATATGGTAATGCTGCCTATATAGCTTGAGAATTTTTTATGAATTGGGCATAGAAAATCTTCACACATTTTACCCAAATTAGTCATCACAGCAAACCTACAAGGTCCCAAACTATTATGACCTTGATTGTGTGGATTGAAGAAACATGCCAGACCCACCGCCATCAAGCCCGTGCCGACGCATAGCGCCTCTATAGGGCACCGCAGAACCGCGGCCCAGGGTTTCTGAGACAGTACGTTTTTTATTTCAATATTTTATTATATAGTTTGAATTTATTCTTAATTGGGATATCTTACATATCTCACTCCAAGTTCATCACGTCAAGTAGAATTGTTCCTTTTCTACATGGCCTCCTTGACATCGGTCTCCCTGTTCCCCGCCCCGCTCCCCGCCATCATCGCTTCACTCCCTCCTCCCCAAACCCTTGCTCTACCTGCTGTCCCTGTAGTTCATCAATCCTGGGTTTTGTAAATCTTCATAGGAGAAAAAATGTTATCTTTCTCCCATGGAATGACTGGTTATTGGACTAAGGACCCGTGGTTAGCCCAATTCAGAGCCCACTGTGCTGCTAAGGAAACAGGCACGCAGAACTGGAATCACTTGCTTAAGGTCCCAACAGCTGGTTCAAGAAGCTGATTCCAAACTGTCTGGCCCAACTACCATGACCCTGTAATTTGATATCATGGGATTTAAGTTGTTCTGCTTGACTAGAGGACTAATTTGGGGTGGGGGCAGGGGGGCATAGGAGAATAGACATACAGTGTCAAGTCAAGAATTGTAGATGCATCTACAAGAAAGGTAAGGCTTGTAATCCTCACAAACTCCAAACCAAATCCTCTAACTGAAGCCATGTTCCCAAGGAGGACTTAATGAATTTCTTCATAACATGAGAGAACCACTGAATTAGTTTCTATGACGGCATTTACCACAAAGGTGCCTGTCTAAAAACATGCTTATTATTTTAAGTATCAGTCATAGAGGAGAAAAAAGGCAAGCAAGCAATCTCAAATTTTTGTTGTATTTTCAGTTATCTTTGTGTGGAGAAAACAGGGATGATTTCATTATATATCGTCTGTGTACATATAGATATGCATATTTGTGTCTGTGTGCACTTTTCCAAACTCAACATGTATCAGAAAAGGAAAGTAAGGCCATTCGGATCACCCTGCTTTTATCTCGGCAGTTATATATTTTATCTTGTTTACGATACTTTTATAGAAGTTTTCGATTCCATCATAAGTGCCTTCCTTTATTTGTTGACACAGCATCTTTCTCCTACGGAACATTGCCACCATCCACTTCGATCCTGCAAGAATACTTAGGGGGGGCATTTTTGCATATCTCTGTGAGCTGAGTGGAACACAGATGGAACAGTTGGCAGATTTTCCTCCTGTGTGATAGATCTGAAAATGAGCTCAGAGGACTGCATCCAAATCTTTCATCCAAGGCTAAGCTGAGAGTACAAGAACTGGGATGAGTCCCAAGAAGTCCCAAGTTCAAGTTAAATAAGCAGATATCTAGACACAGTGTCCAGAACATCCACATTCGTGTAAAATAATTACCCAGCGGCAGCCAATCAACGACTGACCACATTCGTAGTTTGAGGTGTGACCTTTCACAAGGAAATGGTTGGAACTCAAATGCAAATGGAAAGAGTTACGCAAAAGCATTTTTTCTGGCTTCTGGTCCATGATTACATTTATTTGTTGGAATAATCCAACAATTTATCCAACAGTCTCTTCAAAGATGCCCGTTGTCTGTAGGTCAACATATATTCATAAAGCGGTGCCTCTAACAGAGGTATCTTGTGTTAATAAAATAGATACAAGCTCAACTTCCTTTTTTTGATTTAGCAAAGAAACTAAGAATCATGCATTTGAATCCTTAGCCAGAGTCCTTTTTGCTTGATATTATTTATATTTGTTGCTGTTATCATTTTTATTGAGTTAACTAACCTATTTTAGAATTTAGCATAGAACACTAGTACTTAAGTCAAGTTAACCAGGATATACTAGAATTTACCACTGACGACTAGTACTTCGGCTGGCAAAAATAATTTTTGCATATTGTTTAACATGATAATACTTACCCATAGACCCATCTGATTCAAAGCAACATATAGTACATTGATTGAAAGTTCTTTTTCTTGCTTTATAAAACTAAGAAGTGAGTTACTGCATTTCCAGAAGTGAAATGTCTGGTATGATCATAGTGCATACAGATTTTGGTGGAAGGTGGGCTCAGTGCCTACCTTCAAATAACGCTTATTTTTGGAGTGTGTATGTGTATTCTTATTAATGAACATGGCGAGTACTGAAAATCAAGGATTGTGGATCCTTACCAAGCAGCAGATGCGCAATTTTGAATCATGTGCATTTTCATGATTCAATTGAAGTACCTTCCGTCACTCAGCATTTCCCCTGACTGCTGACTGCATCAGTGTGACTTTGATTCTGAAGGCCTCTGTCATCAACAATTGACAGGGGAGAGGGTGACATTGATCTAGGACACGTGGATGACTCCATTCTAGCAGTGTTTTAATATAGTTGCAGACACGGGAACCAGTAACTACTGCACCACCAGCCACAAGAGCAGTTCCCTCAGTCACACGAAAACCATGTTTGGAGAGTTCTGGCCTTCTTAAAACGGAAAGCTAGAGGAAGGCGCCTTGGGACCTGGCAGACATCGGGACTCCCAGAGCCTGTCTCCTCCACAGGGTTGCTATAGTTAGGGGCCATCAAATTGCTTCCAACTCACAGCAACCTGATTTTGCACAAAACGACACCTGCCTAGTCCCGCCCCAGCCTGACAATTATTATTTGAGCCTATTGTTGCAGTCTCAGTGTCAATCCACCCACCACATTGAAGTAGGTGACCCTCTTTTTGGCTGACCCTCTCCTTGATCAAATATGATGTCTTTTTCCATGGAATGGGCTTGAAACATTACGGCTGTACGTCTTTGTTTATTCTCTGATATCAAACCAAACTCACTGCCATCGAATCAATTCTGACTCATCACGAGTCTACAGACCAGGGTAGAACTGCCGCTGGGGGTTTCCATGGCTACGATTCTTTATGGGAATAGTAGAAAGCCTCATCTGTCTCCCGTGGATCAACTAGTTCCTTATAACTGCAGATCGTTTGGTTAGTAGCCTAAGATGTCACCACTGGGCTACGGGGCTCCTTTCCTCTCTGATAGATAGTCCGTGGTAATGT